AGCTGACAGATGAAGGGCAAGACCATAGGTCTCAAAAAGGGTACACTTCCTACCCTGCCACTTTCTGGCCACTGTCCCCTCCCATAACCTCTGCTCTTCAGACGCGGCTCATCCGTACCGCTCTTCATTTGTCTTTATCGGACTCCTTCCTTCCTCGGATCCTCCCTTGGCCATCCGTAAGGTAAGCAAGAAAAAGTTATTTCAAAGAGCTCTTTCTTTCTCAAACTCTTACAGGTTTTGACTGCAAGATCGGCATCATGGAATGTAGCTAGACAGAACTTTGCCGAAGGTTTCAAAAAATCTCAAGCAACAGAATCTTAAAAACAAAAACAAAAAAAACAACAAAAGAACCCCCCTACAGTGTTATGTTAGAACCTAAAAATATAAGGCCTAAATATGTAATATATAAATATATGTTTTACTTTTATAACGTTAGTAAATACGGTATGACTGCTTCTTATAAGATCAGTTCATTAGAGCACTTACACTATTCTGAAGCACACAGGCATTCAGAACTGGAATTTACAGAAGGCAGGTGCCATTTGAGATCTAAATCCGGTGCTGACTTATTTTCCTTATTTTGTTTGGTTGGACAATAGGAGCAAACTCGGTGGTCCCGAAAGATAGACAGAAGCGTATCCCTTTCATCTGAGCAGACAGGTGCAGGCCTGAATTTCAGAGACAACCATGGGGCAAAAACCCCAATCCATGAAACACAGGCAAGAAGTTGAAATGCCTGCAGAGAAACGGCTGAAGAAACTTTAAGGTCTCCTTTGCGGAACGTTCCAGCACGAGTTGGAACTCCTTGGAGGCCGTTTAGGTCCCGAAACGATGCCTCTGATGCGTTGCGTGCGTCATGATGGCTTCCGTCCCAGTTGGGATAAGCTGAAGTCTGTTACGGGCACAGAGGCCAGGCGGCTTCTCAGGCCAAGGGTGGAGCTGGGTCTTAACCCACCGCACGGGTGACCCTTTCTGGTCTTGAGACTTCGTCTAACTATTCGGATGCAGTCAGAGGGGGAGCGGCTCCCTTTAGCCAGGCGCCACGTGTCCTCCCTCGTAAATCGCTGTTCTGGAAATGCGCAGGGCGGTGGTCCTTCGGCGACCCTCCCGCAGCATCCATCCCGCAGCCTCATCACTTCTTGATAACTGCCGGCTGCCCGGTGGCCCAGCCGCTTTCCCACGTGTTACACATCCACCGGCCTTGGCTGTGGTGTTTCCCTTTCCTCGTTTTCCTCTCCATTAGGCAGATTATAGGTCGTCACCTCCCTGCCATCTGGGTGCTTCTAGGTAAAACCGTATCGCAGGTTTTAGAAAGCTCATTAGTGCTTTAAAACATGCCCTTGGTCGCCCTCAGACCCTGTCCAAGCAAAGCACAAGTTCTCCTTGCCTGGCAGGGTGGGGGCAGGGAGCGTGTCCACTGTTAAATCAGCACTTTGAGAGCCCAGCACTTTTGGGTTGTGCTGGAGAGGAGTCCCCCACCCCCTTTTTTCCAAGGCTTACCAGGACTGCTTTGTGGGTGAAGAGAGAGGCAAGTCTAATTTCAAATCGGCAAGAATGTAAAAGAGTTTGGGTCTTTCACATTAAGGCCAAAAATTCTTGTCGGGAGCAAAGTGTTGCACCTCAAGGGCTTGTGAATATCTTGTTTCCACCTCAGACTTTTTCTGCAAGCGGGCAGGGTATGGATTAGACATGAATTTGTAAATAAAATATTTTGTGGAAATGGGACAAGTCACATGGCAGGGAAGATGTTCTAATAGGATGTGGTTAAAACCCCTCTTTCTGGGGCAGCCGGGAAAAACAGAGGCACACAGCGATCCTTGGTATTTTCAGCCTTGAGGAGGGTGAATAAGAGCCAGGCTTGGGAAGGACATGCTTCCTATGTGTTAGCTGAAGAAAGGATGACATGTCTCTGGGTTCCCCTGTTACCTGGCGCAGAGGCGAGGGAGGATGGGCGCAGGGCCCTGGTTAGACAGGTGGGAAACCAGCAGCCTCAGCGCCTGCTCCGGTTCGGACGCCAGTCAGCCCGGGCCCAGGAAGCGAGTGCTTCTCTGGCCTTCGGGGTCTCTCTTCCGTGCACTGGGAGTCTCTGTGGCCCCTCCCACGGCCAGGCAGAGCCCCAGGGGGAGTGTGACACCACAGGGAAAATCAGTGACTCAGGCCTGTCTCTATTGACTTAGGACATCATGTTCATCAGGGACATTTGGCAACAATTTTGATTTAAAAAAGTATATCACACAGTAGAGTGATACCCAAAAGAGTTGAATGTGTGGTCCTGAAGACATATTTGTACAACTGGGTTTATAGCCCCATTATTCACAACAGCCAAAAGGTGGCTGAAGTGACCCAGGTGTCCATAGACGGATGCAGAACCAAGTGTGGTCCATACCTTCAGTGAAAGATTATTTGGCCTTAAAGAGGATGGACACTGGGACAGAGGATAAAACTTGGATGAAATCTGAGGACACCGTACTAAGTGAAATAAGCCAAACACAAAGGAACAAACACTCTAACGATTCCACTCACATGAGGCACCTAGTGTTGTCACATTCATAGAGACAGAAGAAAGTAGGACGGTGGTCGCCAGGCATGTAGGTGTTGGGAAGCTGTTTAATGGGTACAGAGTTTCTGGGAGAGTAAAGAGCTCTGGAGGTCAGTTGCACGGTAATGTGAACCTACCCGGCACCGCTGAGCTGTGCACTTAGAAGTGGCGAAGGTGGCAAACTTCATACCATGTGTATTTTACCACAGTTTTTAAAAATATCCCCGGCTAGTGTTATTTATCTGGGTGGCTGAGTTGCTAGTCTTGGCTCTGCTACCTCCGTCGCCTGCTAGAATCTGATGAATTTTAAAAAGCTGGAAAAGTGAAAGTGTTCTGGAACCTCAGGGTCTGATGAGTGTTGAACTCACACGTGCTCAGTGAGGAATTAGCAGCTGTGGATCTCTGACGCTAACTACACACGTGAGGGCAAAACGCACAGCTGTTTTCCTTCTCGCCCCCCCCCCGCCCCGGTTCTCCAAGCGTGGCCTGGCTGACCTCTGCAGTGAGGGCCCACGGGTGCCTTGACTCCTGAGCCGGACCCCGCCTGAGCTAGACTGTCCAGCTGCCCCTCTGGGCAAGTGCCAGGCTGGGAAGACAAGGGTGTTTTCTCTTACTGGGTTGGTTGATTTGCTTGTTTGCTTGTCACTTTGCCTTTTTCTCTGCAGCAGTGGCAGCAGCCGCCACCTTCCAGTCCTTTTGGATGGCATTCCTGGCACACCTTTGTCTCTCGAAAGAGTCAAAACTCTGTGAGGCCAAATGTGTTCTGTCCAGCGGATAGCCATTCAGAAGTGTTTTTCGTTGCTAAAAATACGAGCACCTGCCCTGACTGGTGTGGCTCAGGGAGGTGAGTGTCATCCTCCAAAGCAAGGGGTCGCCGGTTCAATTCCCAATTAGGACACAGGCCTGGGCTGTAGTTTGGTTTCCTGGTCAGGGCGTTTGCAAGAGGCAACAGATCGATGTTTCTGTCTCATGTAGATGTTTCTCGTCCTCTCTTTCTCCCTCCCTTCCCCTCTCTCCAAAAATAAATACATACATAAAACCTTAAAAAAAATACAGGCACCCACATAGAAATATAAAATGCACAACAATCTAATCCTGCTAAAAGTAATAACAATAATAATAAGCCAATAATACTGACCTCCAAAATGGAGTTTGCAGAATGAGGAATGAGGTTAACCATCTTTCTTCTTACACATCATGAAATGCTGATCTTTTGACTTTTAAAACCATTTAAAATTGTAAAAAAGAAAGAAAGAAAGAAAAGAAAGAAAGAAAGAAAGAAAGAAAGAAAGAAAGAAAGAAAGAAAGAAAGAAAGAAAGAAAGAAAGAATCCGTCACTTGTGAGCTATACAACGGGTGGGGGGCCAGGTGTGGCCCCCAGCCCGTGGTCTGCGGCCCCCGCGCTGGAAGGAGCCCCACACGGGGCCTCCGGTGCACGTTCCAGGCAGGGAGCACGCGGGTCCTCGCTGTCCGCAGCGTCTGACCTGCCGACTCTCAGGGCTGGGTGAGTACAGCGGCGGGGCTTTGGGAGGAAGAAGGGCGTAAATGACGGCACCCTGCGTGTCTAACTGCTAAGCCCTGCTTCCTGAGGTGCTTTGCAACAAATATCCAGCATCAGAAATCAGACACTAGCGGCTGTGCTGCCTGGTTGCTGTACTAGCACTTGGGTGCCTGGCGAGCTGGCGCTCTGGAAATAACCCCTCCTATTTTTAACACCCCCGCCTAGTCAGCGGGTCTCCGGTTTCTCCAAAGAAGATCCCGGGTCCCAGAGATGCAGGCTGGACTCTCGTTGGCAAACAGGCCCCCTCGTTCGCACACGAGTCCTCAGCATTCCCAGGGAGGTGCTTTCCTTTCTGCCTCAGAGTCCGGTGGCCCCTGAGCTGCAGTCGGGAATCCTGGCGATCGCTATGGCACCACACAAGGAAAAAGCAAGTTTTCAAAGAGCTTTTATTTCAAACCACGGTCAGAAAATACCCGGTTAAAAATGCTTCTCAGGCCTCCTGGAAGCCAAGGACAGGATGTTCAGCTCACTGAAAAGGGGGCATCTTGTCACGGAGGACAGAGGGGCTGGCTATCGACACAGGGAACACCCGGAGCTGGCAATGCACTCAGGGTGTCCCTATAATAAGGCTGGGAGGACAACGGGAGTCAGCTTATCAAAGACAGCTGGCACCGTGGGACAACTTGGAGCTGCAGTGGGAAGTCAGGCCTTCCTAAACACCTGTGCACCTGTCGGACCTGCCTCCTCCCCACTGTGGGCAGGTCTGGGTCGTGGCCACTTGCTGCATTCACAGAGGAGCCTGTCACACAGCCCATGGAAGTGCTCAGAGAAGGGAAACGGGGCAGCGGTCGTGGGGCAGCTGTTGCGGGGCAGGTGGGAGCCGGGGAGATGGAAATCTCCTGCCTCCTTTTTAGGATGTTCTGGGCTGGGCTCCATTCGCTGAGGGGAAAGCTCTGAGAGTCGCTGGGGCCCCAGGAGAGCTAGTTAGTGGTCGGGCTCGGCATCCATGCAGGACTCCCAGGGGTTGCGGGGCATCCGGGGCAGAGAGAAGAGGAGCAGGGCGAGGCCGCCCAGGAAGAGGAGCACGAAGGCGGCGCATGCGCAGGCGAAGGACCAGGCGTAATAGTACTCGATCCAGACGGTGTCCTCGCTGTCAATCATGCGCTTCACCGACTGCCGCAAGACCTCCACGGAGACGAAGATGCAGAGGCCTGCGGGGAAGAGCCGCAGGCTCAGGGTCCCGCCCCAGCTGGCGTCTGCTCCGGGGCACAGTGGAGACCCAGGCCCGGGCGGGAGGACACTGGAGACCGAGGATCTACACGGACACCCGCGAAAGTGACCCCGCTGCCTGCCCACCGCACAGTTGGCCCAACCTCAGGTTAACTGCGTGTCTCCCCGTCTTTTGTTAATATTTTCATTGGATTCATTTAAAATGTGTTAGTAACTGGCATTGCTCTCAGTGGCTTGCTGATGAAGTCTTTGTGAGAAATGGATAAATTGCCAACACCTGCCCTCCTAGACCGACCGCGAGAAGATGGCAGAGTGACCAAGTTTGCTGCTGCGTGGAGCCTGGGCATCGCTCTAGACTCACGTCACAAGGTCAGGGTGAGGACGGGCAACAGCATCCCTCACCCCGGGACGTCGCCCCCCAGCCCCGGCGCACGGGCGGGAGCCCCCGTGCTACCTGCGAAAGCGTAGAACATGGAGGCCGGCCTCAGCAGGTAATCCCGCTTCTTCCCGAAGGACAGGAGCACGCAGATGGTTCCTATGATGGCGAAGCCGAGGCTGAAGATGGCGATGGCAGCGGCCGAGATGCTGTACTCTGCAACACACACAGAGCCCAGAGGGTGCCTCAGAGGCCTTGTCCTGGGGCCTGAGGCAGCGGCTGGCTGTGCCAGGTGGGTGACGATACCACATACTATGGTTCCCCTTGCATATGTGGGAAGACTAAGCGCTCAAGAGAGAAAATTAGGCACTCAAAGTCACTCAGGGGTAATGACCTAATTCCAGCTCCTGGGTTGCACTAAACTGCAAGTCCACCTCCCTTCTCACCCTGCGGGCAGAGGCTTCAGGAAGGGGCAGGAGGCCTGTGGCTGGAGGCCTTTCTGGAGCAGAAAACTTCCTAAGAGTGACAGGACAGAAGGGGCAGGCAGAGTCGGTCAGAAAGGGGCTGACAAGCAGCCTCTGAAGCGTGGCTCGTTGCAGAGCAGGTGGCTGTGATTGTGTGTGTGCACACGTGTGTGTGCCATGGGTGTAGGATTGCCAGTGTGTATATGTTAGTGATGCACTAGCATATAAGGACCTATCAGAGTGTGTGTGCACACCCACACCGTGTGCAGCCGTCCTCACACGTGTAGATGTCGACCTGTACTCATGACAGTGGGGTGCGGGAGCTCCGTGGTCCCCTGAAGGCCCCCATGTCTCCCCACACCCCACTCTCCTATTCTTGGGGAGTGATTGATTGCGAGGGAGGGATTTGGACAGTTCTCCACGGACTCCAAGCCACCAGCCCTGCAAAACACTGCAGGGACATGAGCACTTGTCCCGTTTTCCTAGCTCCTGTCACAACAGCTCCCTTGGGCTCTGCTGGAAAACACATTCCTCTGCAATTCAGGGGCCGACCAGGGGCCGGCTCTTTTCCAGCTTCTCGCCAGCCCTGATGGATGGAGGCTCGGGATGCGAGGAGATGGAGCACCTCTGTCTCCGAGCGCAGAGGGTGGCAGGGCTGTTTTCATCAAGTGCGGGGATGTCAGGGCTTTTGTGCCAAATGATTTTCTGGCTCAGTAGCGTGTGATGGCGGTCACTCCTCCCTGTCCTCCCTGCCCTCCCTGCTTTCTGCCATGGCCTTACCTTTCTGAGTGGTGAATTCGAAGATCTCTGAACTCTCGCCTGGGTTAAAATGCCTGAAGTAGGAACAGTTTTTCTCTGCAAAGGAGGGAGACAGAATATGAGTTGAGAGAAAGGAGCCTGTAGCGGAGGCAGAGGCTCGGTCAGGAGAGCCTGGACATGATCCCGCTGGGGCGGCGTGAAGGGACCTACCAGATGGCCGGTCATGTTGTCCCCAGACCCTCACTCTGGGCCGAGACAAGCCTCTTTCTCTGACCATTAGACCACAATTTCACTCGGTGAAGGGAGTTGCATAAAAGGCTGGGAGAGCTTCAGGGAGCCAGGGCTGACTGAGGCAGAGGTGCAGGCAGCGCTGTGGGGGCTGAGCCCATTAGGCAGATGGGGTAACTGAGGCCCAGGGCTCAAGTCATTTGTCAGAGAGTATGGGGTGCCTGGTCAACAAAGAGCTGCACAGTGGTTCTTAGCTGGGTCTGGTTCTGCCCGCCAGGGGTCATTGGGCAATGTCTGGAGATATTTTTGGTGTCACAAGTGGGCAGGGCTACCATTGGCACCTAGTGGGTAAAGGCCAAGATGCTGTTAAACATCCTACTATGCACAGGGCAGCCCCAAAGTGTCAGCAGTGCTGAAAGAAACCTTGGATCGCACCACAATCTAGAGCTGTGTGTCGGCAGTCAGGCCAACCCGGACTCCCCGGGTGTGGCTGGGGAAGCAAGCAGTGTTTTTCCGAAAGCATTCCTGGAGATTCTGATGGTTGGGGAGCCCTGCTCCAGGCCCCTTAAAATGCCCCTCAAAGTGCTTTTCTGAGGGGACCCCCTGGATGGACTGGGGGAAGGCTGTAGAATCCACTCAAGGGCCAAATGTGACCAGCACATGTTTTCCCTCCACAGCTGGGGCTGTAGAGGCAGCCCAGCCAGGACGGCCCACCTGGTGAGTACAGGAAACCCACAGGTGTGTGGACAGCAGGGGCTAAAATCTGGATTTGGTAGCGGGTAGAGGGAAGTCTCAGAACAAAGAAATTCGTGCCGATTTTAAACGTAATTTCAGGCATGATTTCTCTTCTTCATTTTCCCCTTTCGTCTCTCTTATAAGTAGACAGACTACAAACTCAAAGGGTAGTCTTATTGCATATTGAATACAATTTAATATTCTTTACTCCTGATTTAGGACGTAGATGGGTGGGTTCTATTATTCTGTTTCTTTAAGAAAAACTAAATTAGCCCCAGATGGTGTGGCTCAGTGGACTGAGCGCTGGCCTGTGAACCAGGGGGTCACCGGTTCGATTCCCAGTCAGGATGCATGCCCGGGTTGCAGGCCAGGTCCCTGGTGGGGGGTGTGCAAGAGGCAACCGATTGCTGTGTCTCTCACAAACATCGATGTTTCTTTCCTTCTTTCTTTCTCTCTCCCTTCCCTTCTCTCTGGAAATAGATAAAATCTTTTTTTAAAAAAAAGGAAAACTAAATTAGGTTGCTTTTTATGTGCGTGAAGCCCATGTGGATCCATGATCTTCAAAGGAAAACATCCCTGTTTAGATGGCATCTGGCTTGTGCCTTTATTTCTTTACCTTCAGGTTGTATTTACATTTTCTCGAGGCAATTGATGCCTCCCTTCTTTCGGAGATGCACCTGGGGCCCTGCGTGCCTCCGGAGGCAGCCCCCTTCAGTCTGGCCTAAATCATCTCATTGCCGCTGGAGCCTGGGCCTCCCACTCTCCCCTCCTCCCCCACGTCAGGGTTCCTGCCCCTCCCACTGTGGGGGAAGGAAATGACCCCTGGAGATCAAGCCTGGCTTAGCTGCAGTAAATGTTCCGAGAGTTAAACCGCCTTCTCTTTGAGCTTCTATATTTAAATCACTTTCTTTTTGAACCAAGTTACCTGGGGTGTCTGACTACCAGCGGTGATGTCAGAATCGATGTTGCTCTTTTCTCTCTCACAGCTTCCGGTGCTATTTTAAAGCATAATGCTCTTATACTTGTTAGATTATTAGCGATAGCTTCTCTTGAATCACTGCATCAAAGTGGCTTGTGCTATGCCGTACGTCACCATGTACCTCCCTCTGGACAAAGGAACATTTTTCTGTTTCATTCTTTAAGGGCCAATTTCAGTTGTCATTGAAAACTCTGTGAAAAGAACTGACTGGATTCAAGTGTATTTCGTGTTCAGCTGCCTCCCTGACTCCTTGCAGTCAGAGGCCTCCGGAGCCGAGGGGCCGAGATGAAGGCCTGCGAGCGCCCGGCCCCGCCCCAGCTACGTGGCCGCTCCGGGTTGCCGAGGCTACGCTCTCACAGTGTTGCCAGCCCCACCAGACGAGCTCCAGGCTCCATTCTGGACCAACACTGCTGCCCCTGGGTGTTGGCACAAAAACTTTCTTAGATCACAGGGGAAGCTGCATGCCTGGGAAGCAAGCTTGTGGATTCTGGCGGGGGTGGGGGGTTCCCCTCAGGGGCCCCAGCACAGCACTCCTGTCCCTACCCTCCCTGTTCAATGCTCTCACACATGGGGGGTGGGGGACAGGGGCACCCAGTGCGCAGGGTTTCCGCCGAGGACATGTAGAAGTCTCAGCTTCTTCTGTCTCATGTGGCTGAACTTAGGGCTTGAGGACAGACAGGCCAACCCCATCTCCTCTCTTGAACTTCGCACATGAGAAAGGCCAGTGCCTTTTGCACTGAACCTGGGAGGGACGCCCCACCCACTCAGGGCCCTATGGTTGCCCATTGGAGACCACAGGCTGCTTTGTGGTCCCCGATGGGCCCAGCATGGGTGGGAGCTCGTCAGACCCAGAGTTTGCCTGGATACTCCCAGTACCAACTAGATGCTCATTTAGGACTAGTCAAGCTAGGCATCTGTCACTGTCACTCAAGAATTGCCCAGGGTCCTCTTGGAATGAGCAGACTTGTCCCTGTCCTTTTGGGTGCCATCTGGGTGAAGTGAGCATTGAGAGCACTTGAAAAGGAGGGGCATCTGAATTGAGCTTTGCATGGGCCACATGGTCACAGGTAGGGGATTTGGAGGAGGGCGCAGCAACGGCTCCGTGCAGGTCCTGAGCCTTCTCGCCTCTGGTGCCTGGTATCTTCCCCAGGCCCTGCCTGGCCCCCGTGACCTTTCCACAAAGCTCAGGGCGTCCCGCTTTGCTGCGACGGGCTCCGGCCCTTCACCAGGCAAAGGAGGCAAGTGCCTGGACTGAGTCGGCGGTGAAACCAATGCTGGGGGGCGATCCGGGGCCCTTGGCTAGGGGCCCTGGGGCTCCTCCAGCCCCCTCTGTCTCTGCAGATGGCTTCCTGGTGATTTTTAGCATTTGTATTTCCATTTTCCTGGATTTCAGAAATACCTACCATGGACAGTCAGAAGACTAAGCGGTCTAAAACTTTCAGTGGGTCATTTCTTTAAAACTATGGGGAACTCCGCTGTTGGGCTTGGCTGGGGTTGGAGTGTTCTGGCTCACCAAGCGCCGTGGTCAAGGGAGCGACTACACAGAACCACATCTAACTGTGCCGGTTTCAAAGAACTAGAACAGAAGGTACATTTAACTGCAAGCCAACCTTGAGAGAATACAGATCTGTCTTCGATTGTTGGGACAACTTGTGCAACTAGGGATGTTTCTCGGAGACCCCTGAGCATGTGTTGGTGTGCCCGGTGCTGGTTGCTACAGGCATTAATACATTAAAAAAAAAAACCAAAACTTTGTTGATTTGCACAAAACCAAGAGAACTAGTACTTTAGGGGTTGGAAGAAACATTTCACCCACTTCTAGTCCTGGCTGGTGTGGCTCAGTGGATTGAGCACCAGCCTGCAGACCAAAAGGGTGCTGGTTTGATTCCCAGTCAGGGCACATGCCTGGGTTGTGGGCCAGGTTCCTGGTTGGGGGCGTGCGAGAGGCAACCCATTGCACTGATGTTTTTCTTGCGCACTGATGTTTCTGTCTCTCTCCCTCCTTTCCCCTCTCTCTAAAAATAAATAAGTAACATCTTTAAAAAAAAAGAGAAACATTTCACCCACTTCTTACTTGCATCAGTGCCTGGGTTGTCTTCCCTCTATTTGTAAAAGTTCTTCACGTTCCAACAGCAGTTTCTCTGTCCTCCGTCTCCCTCTACCCGCTGATTGAAGACTTTTATGAAACGGGTTGGAGAAATCCCCAAGAGCCTACCCCGGAGCTTCAGAGCACGGCCGCCCTGTGGGAGAGGAGTCCAGTTACGGCCTGGGTCTCCAGCATGGGATTGTGTGGATGGGAAAGGGGGCCCCTGAAATTCCTGGGGTCAGTAGCACCATGTGTTTTCATATGGCCCCAGTCCCCGCGCCAAGTACTGGAAGACAAGATGGGCCGATAGGGAAACAGGGTCCCGGGGTTTCTGCCGCCGCGCCCTGCAGAGGCGGAGCCTGGAAGAGGCAGCGTTCCACCGGCCCAGGGGCTTGCCTCTCCTGACAGCTGGGAAGTCCCACTCACTCTCCGGAGGCACTGGTGTCGCCCTCAGGTGTTGATCTGGACAATCCTTTTAAAGTTCTCCGGGGGAGGGGGGACTTCCACCAAGATGGAGGCGTAGGTGGAAGCATTGTGCCTTCTCACACAACCAAGTTTAAAAACAATAGAGTTTTAGCAACAAAAACACAGCCAAACCCCAGAAAATTGAAGTACACGGAAGTCTGACAACAATGAACCCTTCAGCCAAACTGGTAAGGGGGCAAAGCCAGCAGCAGAACGGGGTTGGGCAGGAAAAATCCACCAGACGGACCTGGGCGTGCGACCCAGGTGCGCCAGCCGTGGGTGGATTCCAGGTGTGGAGAAGCGGTCGGACCCACTGAGGCTGCAAGGCAGCCGACCCACTGAGGGCGGACCGTGGTCACATATTCACGGGCAGATAAACCAGTGAAGGAGCCAGCGGTGGTGAGACGGACTGCACAGGCCCCAGCAGCGGGAAGCGGCAGAGGGAACCACCATTGTCCCTCTCTGACCTTGCCTCCACATATAGCGTCACAAACCAGCGACCTGGGTGGCCCCACCCCGGTGAACAACTAAGGCTCTGCTCCTCACATGTAACAGGTGTGAACAGATCAAAACATGGCTCAAGAACAACTCAGAGCCCCAGAG